CATTTGGTTTTCTAATTCATCAACTACTCTGTCTTCATCTAAAATGGGGCATTCATACTCTTCATCATAGCCATCATACAACTGCCCTTCTCGAGCTAAATCACCCACATTAATGTATTTCAGTCCTGATCTTGATGCAAGTTCTTTGCCTAGCGTGGTTTTTCCAACCCCTGGTGTACCTGACCGGTGAGCAGGATGTTCGGAAGCAACCTGGTCCTCACCGCGCTGGCTCCGGGCGTCCAGTCCTTCTATTCTTTTACACAATGGATAAGTTGGCTCTATTTCATAGAAATTGAACAAAAGGAGTATTCTGAGTTTTGTGCAAAATCAATAAAACATTCAGTTTTACATATATGTAATATTTGCTTTTCTTTTAACAGGAAAAAATTAAAGAGTACATCCAAATATATTTATCAAACGTTATTTTTGAATGGTGAAAATAGTGACATTAAGATTTGTGCTCTAGGAGAAGAGTGGAACTTACACAAAATATATTTATGTCAAGTAAGTATTTTATTTTTCTATTTGACTAAAGAAGGTAATTACTTAAAAATAGCTCATACTCTTTCAAGTCATGTTCTTTCTAATTGCATTTCACAGCAATCTCTTTACAGTAGTTGTTTAAGTCCTATCATCTCGTTCCAAAGTCTTGTTTCATCAGAAATACGGCACACACTTAGTTTGGTCTAGAAAACAGATTTTGAATTTTCCTTGTCATACCAGCCCAGCAAATACCTTTTTGTCATTACTTCAGTAAGGTTCTTATTTTGGTGCCTTTCGCTGATAAAAGGGAAAAAAGTTAGGGGAAAAATGTCTAAAGTTAAGATTGCTGAATTTGTTTATTTTGTATATAATTATTTAAATTGGATGCATTTAGCCAAAATGTGATTCTGTAGATATGATTGATTGAAAGTGAATGGAAAGTTCTTGACACTTACTCTTCTTTCCTTCTGGAAAATGCAGTTAAATTAAAGACAAAACCCAGCAAATACAGACTAATTCATTTAGCTGATAATACCTATTTGGTTTGTGTGCTGAAAATATTACCATCTGCCACCCCATTTTAAAGATTCAAAACTCTCAAAATGAAAGAAAATGTTGCTCTAATGGCTCAAATATTTTATTCATTTATTCTTTCATCAAATCTATCTATTCTTTCTTCAAATCATTGTTCTAGGCACTGGGAATAGAACAGTGAACAATTCAGTTTCTATCCTATGGAGTTTATATTTTCTCTCTTCTTCACCGTTTGACAATAATTACTGGTAAGACAGTATAGTATAAGATTTCAGTAGAAATATTAAAAAAAAACTTTTTCTATAACATTTTAATCATAATGTTTTTTATTTAATTTTTTTGAACAAGGTACTTTGGCTTGAAGTTTATAGCTCAGGGAATATATCAGAATATTGGTCTCAACTTGAGGATAGGGTCCATACCTTTTTTTTAATCACTGAAAGCAGTTTTGTGAATTTAAGGATGAGAATGCCTCAGTGAAGGCTTTCCCTCTCAAGAGAAACTGTATTGATTATAGTGCAAGCCACATGCTAAAATATAGTAAGCCTCCTAAGGACAGAAACAATGTTTTGTTTACTGCTGTATTCACAGTGCCTTATACATACTGAGTATTCATTGAAATTAGTTAATATTTGATCTAGTCCAAAGTAATTCTAATTATGAGAGGTACTATCTAGAAGGTAACTAAAGACTTCATCCATTTTAGTACCTTACCAAGAATTTAGGTCCATTCTGGAATTTTCTGATTAGTTAAAACTAAACTTTAGATTTGTCCTAATTTCTGGGGATCATCCCATTTACAGCCACTAACACAGTAAGGATTCAACAGTAGGAAAGTTCTTAGTCTTCACTCCTCCTCAGTACATGATTATGTATTCACCTTGTGTCTTGTCATATGTTTATGAGAGTCTTAAATACATGATATGTTTTCTAAGCTTGAATTTAAAATGTCATTGAGAAGGAAAACATATACCTGTAATAGACTTAGAAATTATTTTAACTAAGTAAAAAATCAGTGTAAGTTTCAAATAGTAATATAGGAATTCAGTTCAGATAGTAATATGAGAATTTGGTTTGGTTTTCATTAAATTAATCCTAAACAAAGTATTTTGACATACCTCAAGTGTCCTTAATCTCATTTTCCTGTAGACATATTTAGCAACTCTTTTTCTCCTGAAATAATATGGATTCATTTTGGTAGAAGAATTGCTTGGAATTAGAAATGGGAAAATAATTTGGAAGGCACAGAAGGTACTAGATAATTGTTTTTGTTTTGTTTTGTTTTTTAAGTCTGGCTACTTTTCTAGTATGTTCAGTGGTTCTTGGAAAGAATCCAGCATGAATATTATTGAACTGGAGATTCCGGACCAGAATATTGATATAGAAGGTAACCACCACCATGTTTACTATTATGCAAAAAGTATAACATAACCTTTTTATTCTTTTGGTAGAAAATAAATATTTTCGGACGCCTGGGTGGCTCAGTTGGTTAAGCGACTGCCTTCGGCTCAGGTCATGATCCCGGAGTCCTGGGATCGAGTCCCACATCGGGCTCCCGGCTCGGCGGGGAGTCTGCTTTTCCCTCTGACCCTATCCCCTCTCATGCTGTTTCTCTCTCTCTCTCTCTCAAATAAATAAATAAATAAAATCTTTAAAAATAAATAAATAAATAAATATTTTCTTCCAACCTTGTAGGCTAGGAAAAAAGCTCCATTTAACACCCTAGAGTGTCAACTTTGTATTGATTTGCCCCATAGTTTTTATCAATTCTGTTCTATCTGTCCCTAATCTACTTAGTAGAGCTGGTAAATAGTGTTTATTGATTATTCCCCATGTATGAAGACTTTCTCTGGGAACAGTAGGGTATGAATCATGTAATCGGTGTTTTATTAGAGCTCTGAGTTCTTAGATGAGGAAGCTGAAGCCCAGAGGCTTTAGGGACTTATTTTAGGTCTCAGCACTTTAGTGAGCCTCAGTCAGCCTATAGTTCTCCTAATTCCTGTTCCAGTGCTCATCCTCGGCTCCCCTCTTTGATTGCCTAAGTGTAAGTACCCAGTACTCACAACATAGGCAAAGAGAAAAGTTAAGGATGTTTATAAACACCCACAAGAGTGGCAGTGCAGAGAAGGAAGGACAGGCCTAGATAGCTGTGGTGGTTGGGGGAGAGTGTGGCATGAAGAGGACCAGGAGCAATAATTCCCCACTCCCCAGGAATGAAGCACTGAAAGCACGAGGGTTAAGATTATCATTGGGGTATGTGTACTTAATGATTGGTCTATTCAGGGTATCTTTATAAAACTTTTTCCAAGAGTATCTTATTTCTGACCACCAACTAATGTCAAGATTAGATGCAGAAGAATCCAGCTCTGTTAGGTTGAATAAATGGAAATTTGTAACATTATTATTAAATGAGCACCATTAATCAGTAACCATTATTAGCATTTTAATTAGTGATACTCTCTTATCCTTTTATGTACATCCTAAATTTAGACGTATATCTTAGAGTATAAAGACAGTCGTCATTATTTTTGTAATACTTTCATAGATATCACTGTTATTTCATTCCCTGGGTCTATTTTTGCTTTCAGCACTGCAGGTTGCATTTGGGTCACTGTATCGAGATGATGTCTTAATAAAGCCCAGTCGAGTTATTGCCATTTTGGCAGCAGCTTGTATGTTACAGTTGGTGAGTATGCACATTATTCAGACGAGATTGGGTGCGCTCAGGGTGGGATGGCCGTAGATGAGTATGCACATTATTCAAAGAAAGGATCACAGTTGGGTCTTTGTTTCAAAGTATTTATTCTAAAAACAAAAATAAAGCTTAGCTTTTTACAATTTTTAAAATAAAAATGAAATGTGTAAATATGTCATTTGTGATAAGTCATTTAAGAAGCTTAACCAAAAAAAATACTACTAATAAAATGCTTAATGAAAACCAATTTATTGGGGCGCCTGGGTGGCTCAGTTGGTTAGGCGACTGCCTTCAGCTCAGGTCATGATCC